TGTATTTATATATATATTTCATTATTTGAACTTCAGAAAGTATTTTTAAAAGCCATAGTTATGGAGGAAGGTGTTAGTTAAATTCATTTATCAACAGACAGTTGGAGTGTGTTAGCTTAAGACGGGGGTGGATGCATTATAATAAGAAAGGTATTGATTTATGGCAAATAGCTGGCTTTCAGGTCTCCTAATTCTAAGCATATGTGCCCCAAGGTGGCCAGAACATTTTTCACAAGTTGCCAGCCCTAAGCCAATGAGGCCTGATCAACATTCGTCTCCATCTACTTGCAACACATAGTCTAGCTATTCACAAGTAGGGTATATTAGATCAGGCTTGTTGCACTGCAAAGCTGCTGGCTGGCTCAGAGAACAGGCAGAGTGAGCTTGCATCTGCCTACAGAAAATCATGTAGCTGTCCTGGATATTCCTCTGTGTTGATGCATCTCCACCTGTTCATGAAATGACATACAAGCTTCAGTTGGCAAATCCCTCCTACTAATTGGATGTGCTTTGAAGACAGAAAGTGTCAATACACGAAAGAAGGCTCTGAGATCCAAAATAATCAATGAATTCAAAACAAAAACAACCAAAAAATCCCAGCTTCAAATAAAAAAGGTGTTGCCTGGGACATGCAGCAAGAATTCTACCTGCCAGGGACAGACTGCGTCTGCTGTCATTTGGAAAAAGGGAAGATGGGGGTGAGGAAGCTGTGGAGGTCACCACAGCAGGTTTGGGCTTTTCAGAATACTGAATACTTTTCAGGATCTGCTATTGCTATGAGCTAGCAAAAATATAGAGAGAAATAATAATAATTACCAAAAAATACATAAATAAAAGATCAATACATTTTCCCCCTGAACAAAGACGGGAGCAAGAGACGGATTACACTTCATAGGGACATGTCTGAGATATTGTGGAACAATTCATCTCAGATTTTGGATGTGCAGCTCTGATACAGTAGCAGCAAGACCACCCCCCCCCCCAACCAACCCCCCAAGTTATTCATCTTCAGGATGAGATGATGCACCTTATATCACCTTATATAATAATATGGGAGATTGGAATTAGCCTGGATGTAACTATCTAATTTTCAGATGCTTAAATGAGAGTAGATGGACATCACCCCAGACTGTCAGACACGTCTGAGAGAAAGCCTTCATCCACATGAAATGAATGACAGTTTTGCAGGGGATCCCTTGGGGCCAAGTATTCACCTTGAGAGTGAGGCAATTTACACCTCCTCTCTGCATCAGAGACAGAACTTATGTCTACTCCCTGAAAGAAAAGAATGTGATATTGTCGTGTTTCTATTCAACAAGACATTTTCCTTACAATTTCCCAATGAATCAGATAGGGCAATATGCTGTCCTTGGAGAGAAAAGAAATAGCACAATTTGCCTTATTCTGAGGAACCGAGGAATAAAAATCTTAGCCATTAACCCACTATGCAGATTAAAAAGACTTTTCCTGCCTTAACCCTCAGTTCCATTTAGCAGGCCCAACAAATCACAGATAACAGTCTATAATTATCCTTCCATTTGCAGTTCCTGAACAATTGTGACCCAATAATCTGTAATGGAGTGCAAAAGCCATTGTGATTAAGGCTTTTTGTGAAATACCTCAACAGCAGAAAGACAAACCCTCAAAAAGATGTGGCAGAAGTGTGGTGTTCTATGCTCAATAAGGAGTTCTTAGACTTTAAAATTCCCAACATGTCATAAGTGGAAGTTTATATTGTTGTTATTGTTGTTTATTGTTGTTGCCATAACTATTTTTAAGAAGAAAAATTAAACCATATAAAATATTTATTTGCTTTTTTGCTGGGTGTAGGGTGAATTAGAGATAAACTAATGTAAAGTAGAATTGTTAATTTAATTTGTTAAAAATATATATAATTTAAATGGAGATTATCACACCTTTTAAAACATCTTAAAAAAAATCTGTCAAATGAATAATCAGAACTGTTTCAGATCATAGTCCTACCATACACCCTTATACCTTCACCCATCCAACCATTACACCTGAATGAACAGGAATGAGATCATCAGGATATCTCCAGGGCAGATAAATTCTGATGTCAAATGTAAATTAGCTCATTTTATGGGACAATTATGTCAAGAGTATTTGAATTCAACAGTAGCATAGAATCAGAGCAGGAAACAAGAGTCACCGCAACCAGGTTTTTATGCAGGGTTCTTTCCAAAGGAATATTCCCCGGTACAATAGCCATGTTAGCTTTAAATGTTCTGTGTGACAAAGCTTGTACTTTTCCTTCAGGGAATGTAATAATGTATCTCCTCCTAATGTAACTTCTCCTAAGAAGTTCTACCCTGAAATTATTAATCTGGCTACTCTACAGAACAGCCCATCATCTTGCATAGGAATACCATCAACAAATTGAAGTGAATTATGTGAACAAGACTCAAAGAATCTTTCTTGTTTTACATGATTTCCTAGTTTGTCTTGTGGAGATAAAAGTTCAAGCCAAAGAGGGTGGATCAACAAACTGAGAGCAAAAGGTGGTCAGAGACTAAAATAATACGTGCAAAGCAAGGGGGGGGCACAGCAAAGCATTTTGCAAATATGCCTTTTTTCCCATATATTTGTGCCCACTCAACTAAAATCCGAAGTGATGAATTCTACTACTTGTTAATGACTGTAGACAACCAAATACCTTTCTGTATGCAAAGCTTTTCTTAAGACCAGTACAAGTTCAGCACAGAGGGAACTGGAAAAGTGTCTCCTCAAGGGATGTTGTACATATTGTCTAGCAGGAATACTCTGATACAGGGTGATGCTAAAGCTATCCTTGCCAATGTATTATCAGCACAGATGACTAAAGTCATATACAGGAAAAAAAAGAGAGTTTCTCACTGGTGCATTTGTACCCCTTTCAGTAGGGTTATTCCACTTTTGCAATGGTGTGGAGGACCCACTCCAAAAATCCCGTTAAGTTCAATGTGTATGAAATTGTGCACCTGTTATCTTCACAGGTGATACTGGATGGTTGGATGTCAGACATGAGAGGAGAACAGGGAATGGAAACAAGAGAGCATAAACCAACGCAAAAACAAAAAACATGCTGACTTATAGTTTGATGCTGTGGTTTCTAAGCCAAGTAAAATAACTTGCAGTATCTCCACTGACTTCTAAATCTTGATCTCATTTTACATCTCCTGAGAATCATGAGAAAAAAAAAAAAAAAGAAAAAAAAAGGATTCTTCTCTACTAAATTGGAAGTGACTATAAGATGTGATATTTCTGCACATGAGTTACAGTATGATCCTGTCCTCAGTTTACTTTTTGTCTGTGCTTCTTAACTCACATACTCTGGTTTCATTAGAAGATAATCTGAGCTAATTTAAGAATTAGACTGTTTGTACCGAGTGTGCTCAGAAGGAAGGAAAGAAAAACAAAATCTGCTATATTAAAATGAATCAGCCTGGGGACATGGGTCTCAACTGATCAAAGGCGTAGGCACATATGGAACTCAACCCCAGAAAAAATATCTCCAGGATGCCGGCTCAGTCAGCCAAATCAGGAGAGATGCGATGAACAAAGGTCTGAACGTGATCAACAGCGCAGCCCACAATCTCAGAGATCTCTGTTTTTCTCTCCCTGGTAGCATCCTACAACAAAGCTTCTGCTTTCGTGTTTATGAGCTTCACATATACACTGACAACAGCAGATCTGGAGAGCCACAGGAGGCTGTGGCACCACCACGAGAACAGCAGACATCTTAAATCTACAGGGAGGAAGAAGCCCTCTTGCTTTCTAGCAGGAACCCCAATGGAAGGCTAGAGCCACGGAGCAATCACAAAACCTGTCCCTGTTTAAAGACGAATACATTGGGACAACTGGCTTTCCTTCTGGCATTCCGAGAAGCCCCCCATGACCTTGGAGTCTGTTCAGTGCCAATGGTTATCCTTCCAGTCACTGCACACATGCCTTAGATTGGAGAAAACAAAGCAACAGAAACCCTCTGCTCCGCGATATCCAAGATAGATTGCCACTACAATAACAGATCAATTGTAGCTGTCCTGCATGAACAAAAAAGCAGCTACCACTGCTCTCAGCACATAGAATGTGAAAAAATATACACATAAATTATAACACAGAGCTATAACCAAGATACAAGCAGAGATATCAACTTAAATCCAACTGCTGTTATTGTACTGAATAGCATTCCTTAATTATTCATCAAATTGGAGCAGTGCTGCTTTACCTTTCCTTTAGGACAACTTCGTTCAAGACAGCTCCAGCGTGTTTTGCATTAGCCAAGTAAAGATGCTTGTATAATGCATTCTTTCTCCATAGCTATAATAACAACACTTTAAGGATTTTGCCTTCCTATTATCTTTAACAGTATATTAAACAGTCATACATTCACTTTGATTAACATTTGCTAGCCATAGAAATATTTTCCCACCATACCTGACCAGTGTTGCATACGCAGAATACAGAAGTGAGATGGCAGTGTACCAAAATAATATCAAATGAAAATCTATTTGCTGTTTGTTGACTCCAAGAGATTAAAAAGAGAAAGAGGGAAAAAAAAATCTTCTTCAGTTACACTGCATATTGCAATATCAGTCCAACACATGCACTTTAATTAACGTACACAAGACGGATGGTAATCCATAATACCCTAGGAAAGAACCAGGTCACTTTGCCACCTTCTTCATTTTGGTTCTTATTATTTGTTACTCTTATAATTACCTCCAGTGCTACTCCAATACCTGCTTCAAGCTAAAGGCCAGATTCTGTTTACCAGCAGACTAGATGCAGAGGAAAACCACTGACTTCCAGGGAGTTCATCCAGACATACTTCTATGTAAGTGATCATCTCGCCATAGACACCGGTATGTCTCAAAACAAATCTCTCCCTCTCTCTCTCTCTTTTTTTTTTTTTTTTTTTTCCATGCATTTCCTACTCCTGAACACCATGCTGCATTTTCTTTCTCTCCCTGACAGTAAACTCTTCAGATTCCAATACATACCTGAACCGTTCACACGTTAAAACCACAGCATAGCGGCAAAAAGTCTGTCCTGCGTGCTATCCCTCTGACTTAGGATGTGCTCTGCATAAAGATGGTATTATTAGAGCCAGCTGTTCAAATACTGATAAGAAGTGCCCAGAGGCATGCAAGCAGAGGTCAAAGGCACATTAACAGCAATTTCTACTACTGCCCCACAGAAAAATAGAGGAGTCCTGGTGCACTGCTTGAAGGGTGAATCAGAGTTTCTGCGGCAGGTGAAGATGCAGAACTGCAAAGGTAGCCTAGAGCTCAAAAATGCCAACAGCAGCACCGTGTCTGTTAGCAATCAGGTTTTATTTACCAGCCATATTGTGTTAAAATCAGACGTGATTCCCATACCAAGCACGTTAACCTGTCACCACACGCAAAGGGAGCTTTATCTGTTCGACAAGCAACAAATCTATCTCGCGGACACATCCTCGGAGCCTGCAGTTGTATCTGGAGGCTGAAAGCCTGCGTTCATTTCCCCCCAAAAGAAGTATTCCCAGGACCTGGGGAAAGAGCCGGTAAATCAATGTCACTCCAAGACAAGCCGCCGGTTCCTAATCCCCCGCCGGCTGCAATCAGCGGCTCTGGAGCATCTCCGGGCTGGGGCCGAAGCGAAGCGGGGCAGAGCCCGAATCCCACTGCCCGGCCGGGGGAAGGGACTTACCATTGCAGCAGGGATCCGTCCCGGTGCTGGAGATGCTGCATCCCCGCCGGGTGCCGGGGCGGGGCGGGTGCCGGCGGGCTCGGAGCCAGCGGCGGGGGGACACGGAGGGGACCAGCCCCGGCTGCCCGCGGGGACACTGAGCGGCCGGAGCCGGGCTCCCCCCGCCTCGCTCCTACCGGCCGGAGGAGGGGTCGGCGCCTCCGAAGGGAATCCAAATTCCTCCTCCCTCGCCTGCCGGTCATGTCCAGGCTGCCTTTGCTCAGGGGATGGGCCAGGTCCTGGCCGTGAAGGAATTTGCCATCGCTAAATCCAAAAAAAAAAAAGGCAAAGAGGGGGGAGGGAGGAGATTTGTTGCAAACTTTTTTTTTTTTTTCCTGGTGTCTGTTTTGTTTTTTTTTTCCCCTTTCTTATTTATATTTTTATTTTTAAGGGGGGTTATTCTAGCTTGGGAAGTGGGGGTTGGAGCAAAGGAGGAGAAGGGGATTCAGGCTGGATCAGATGCTCTGCATGCAAGTCAAGGCTGTGGTGTGCTCGCCCCGGTATTTCTGTATGTGTGTGTGTGTGTCTGTGTGATTCTCATACCCAGACAATGCTCTGCAAAGCGAGCTGGTCCTGCGGAGAAATGCAAACACCTCCTCCCCCAAGTGCCTGAGGAAAGGAAAGGGGATATGGAGCCAATCGCTTCTCCTTGGCTAGTTCATTAATATGGAGGAGAAAGAAGGAAGCCAATGAGGACCAGAGGAAGGAGGGGTTTATTCAAATTAAGTTTCTTAAATCAAACACTTTTTCCCCCACCCGTTTTTTTTCCTCTTCCTACCTCCCCCAATTGCTCTTTCTCCCTGTCCCCTGAGCACCGTCTCTGCAGCTTCACAGATTCATTTATTTGTTTATTTTCAATTGGCACGACTGGGTCAGCAAAACATGGTGATGGGAGGGAGAATGGCATCGCTGCTGGATGGGAAAGGGGATGTGGGAGGGAGGGTGAGGGGAGGCAGTTTCTCCCTGAGCTGCAGAAGAGTTGATAGCAAAGAAAAGCGATAAAGTAGCTGGAGTTGGCAGGAAAGGGACCTGAGGGGAAGTGGAGCAGGAATTTCACCTAGAAGCAGCATTTTGCAGATGGTATTTGCAGATGGGCATGTGGCCTGTGTCCAAGACAAGCCCCGTGAGCAGGTGGAAAGTACGTCCTCCCCTCCCACAGCAGAGCCACACACACCCAGGAAAAGAAGTGACTGCACAAGAACAACAGCAGCCACCCTGCCCTGCACTGCCCTATAGGTGCACGACACCGAGCTGCCCACAACAGCAGTGCAGGAGTCGGACCTGTTGCAGGAACAGGCATAGAGCTGTAGACAAGGCTGAGGTGGTCAATGAGAAGGGCAAGGATGTCCTGCTGGTTCCTTTGATGTGTGCCTGGAAAAGCACAGGGTGGCATGTGTCTCCTGGCAGGAAATGGCACAAAAGCATCCAGTCCCTTCTCCCCTCTACAGAGAGTAGCACTCGAGGGTAAAGCCTGTCCAGACCTGGGAAATGGTCACTAAAGGAGTCTGAGCGTCTACAACAGGTGTAGAGGAGCCCTCTGCCAGGGCATCCCATGAAAGCACTTGTTTCCACACTGCTTTTGTTGCTTTCAACCATACTGGTATCAGGCCCTGCAGATCCATGTCAGGAACTGGAGATGCTGGATGCCTGCATCCCTCCCCAAATTCCCTGAGACCTGTGTTGCCTGCTGATGAGGTTCTTCCAATCACCCTCAAATTTCACACCTGGGATACCAACACTGTTCCCAGTATGGAAACCCTTCCCTTTGCTTATCTTTTATCACTCCCTCTACATTTTCTGCATCTCCCATCTTCCATTTCCCTTAGAATGTGATCTCATTTCATATCCTCCTTCCCTTTACCCTTTGCCCAGATTAAACAAAAGAAAAACAAAGCAATCCATTCTGAAGAGCAACTAAATCTATTACCTCTCCAGTGTGAAAATCCCTGGCCCAATTACTTATTTTTATGTTATAGTACCTGTGGCCTGAGGGGGATGTAGCTCTGCAACAGAAGCACTGACTGAAGCAGCACTGCTTCTGGTCCCTTATCACAGTAACAGACCCATGGCTGCATCGGGGCCTTCTGCTGAGAAAAGAAGGCACAGACACACTGTGAATGCATTCAGCTCTGTTTTTCATTTCAGCATCACGGAGCAGTCCAAATAATCAGTTAGACTTTTCAAATATTTTCTTTGCACTTTCTCCTTCTCCATTTTACCAACTTCTCTAGTCACATCTCTTAGCTTTTAGTAGCTTTGCTAAACATGAGAGAAAAAAAGAATATGAGAATAAAAATCTTTAATCACCCTTTGTACTGTTTATAGACATTAAAGGGAGAAAAGTACTTTTAGGATATCATCTATTGCACCTACTTTAATGCCTACCTAGGATAAGACCCCAGGCTAGATTTCCAGAAAGCATAAAGAAATCTAACAGTAAGGAATTCAGTCAGATGTAGATACCTATTTATTACTCAGAAGGATCTCAGCAAACCTCATTTTATCTGAATCCTAAAGGATAAGATGCAGGACAAAGTAACCTCCACAGCAAAATATTCTTCGCAATAAAAACATCTCTGTTCATCCTGTAGAAATAAATAACTCTCCCAAACAAAACAAAACAAAACAGCTGCCATGACCCCTCAAAACTTCCAAAATTTATGATAGCACTACATCAAAAAACAGAAGCATCCCTATGAAATGTCCCATTGGAATGCTAAACATGGAAGAAGGTTCCCAGCTGTTCAATTATTATGTGCTGCTACAACATCTGCTCCCTGTCTTTCCCAGGAGAAGGGCAACAGGCCAAAAGAATCATCTAGTGGCCTGTATCCAGCCTCAGTTGGACTGCCTTAGAGGATCTCAGCTGATACCCATCTCAGGTTTCCTATAGAAGAAGTCAGGAGAGTCTGTCTAAGAACTTTGCTCTCTGAAAAAGAGAATTTTCTTTAGGATAAAACAATTAAGTCATTTTCAGGCAAATGGTGCTTGTTTGTTACCCTCATCAGCAGCCTATTAAACAGCTATTCATTACTTAAGTGTGTGTGAAGCGTGATAACAATTATTTTGGCCAGCATGAGGGACTGGCAGGGGCAGGAGAAGGCTTCCTGAGAGAAAAGTGTGATGTGCTGCTAAATGACCTAGACAGCCTTCCATCTGTCATCCTACACAGGGTCAAGACACTGGCAAGCTGGCTGCAAGAGTATTTGCTGGTACTGGGTTAAAGATATTGTTGGAAGGTCCTCCCCCTTTTATTTTATTTTGAAATCACTGGTGATTTAGTTGATTGAACAACTAGGTCTCAGCTGGTCAACCATCCCTCCCTTCGTATCAGAATCAGTTCTTACCAATGCAGTTACTGGTATACAAGGCATGATCCATCTCAGCCTGGGGTAATATTGAAAACAGCTCAAAGGAACTGTGTCCTAAATGTGCCTGTTTCTCTCCACCGACATTAGACAGACTGCAAACACAAGCCCAGCTTGTCAACACTCACAATGTAAGCTCCTAGTGTTTGAAGAGATAAATCATCGTTATGAGGTTTGACAAGCCTCAACTGCTGAGACACACCCGGTTGGCCTGTTCTCCTCTACAAGGATAAGAACTACCCCAGGACAGTGTTCTGGTCTGCATATTGCCCAGTCACTTCCTACCAATTAGGAGACTGCTAACAGTCAGAAAAAGATACCTCCTAGCTCCTGATGGCAAGATCTGGTGGAGGTAGAGAGTGGGGAAAAAACAGCTACTTATGCAAGGAAAGACAGTCATTTATTCCCTTTCTAGCTATGGAAATGGGCTATACTGTTTTAAGACATTTCTACTAGCAGAACTCTGTCCAAAACCAGGGAGAACACAGTATGCTAAATACCTCACCAGGTATGATTAACTGGGATGTATGTGGTGTGTAGGCAAAGGTCTAAACAACTATCTTAAGAGGAGGCAACTCAAAGAGTGACTATAAAGAACAGAAGGTATCTGACTGTGTGCCTACTTTTACACTGTAATAAATATAAGGGAGCTCAGCCCACAGACATACAGCCATGCTTATCTCAGGATGCTGGGAAGTAGCAGAGGGTGTGAAAGCAGCCATCAGTGAGAAGCTGAGGTGCAGTAAATTCACTCCTAGCTGTCTGGACAGGAGTCTATTGATCTGGCCACCGTCAAAGGGAATTAAATTGAACCAAAGCTCTTGATTCCTTTATCTAGCCTTCCTTCCTTTATCTTTGTCCCCTGTATCTGTTACAAATTTTACTGGAATCAACTGCACCTTTCTTCATCAACACCCCATTTTCCTCATGTTTGTTCTGCTGCAGAAGATGCTGTATTTGACTTGAACACTCTAAAAAATGAGGAGAAGAGGACACATCAGCACATGTAGCGCATGGAGGTGATGCCAACCTGCCTCTGACTCAGGCTTTTGCATATGCAGAAATCACCCACCAGAAGCTGGGTATGACAGGAAAAATGCTCTGCTAACCAGCTTGCAAGCCGGCTATGAAGCATGTTTATGCAAATGGTGGTAGCCATACCTTACCTTGATCAGCCTCCATAGGCTGCTACATAGCAAGGGATGACATCTCATGGACAGGAGGATGGGAGTCAGCTTGAAAATTGACAGGTGAAGGTAGGTACCTGTATATGAGCTAGGCAACTGCACTACTGTCATAGTCAACAGAGACCTAGTCATTAAAATCAGTGAAGCCCAGGGATACTGTGAGCTCACTTTAACATACTGTAACCAACTGAAGAGCTCCCTGGACACTGCTGTCTCTTTTAATATCTGCAGCTTTAGTATCTGTTGCCTTAGAAAAGGTGTGCATTGCCATTTGAAATGCCCTAGAAATCCTTTACTAGCACCAGCTGCTCCCACATCTCTTGTATTATATCTGCCAGTCTCAAGGGATTATTTATTTATTTAACCTTGCTAAGAAAGAGTTTAGTTCAGGTGGTCAATGTAAAGCTCCTGTATTGTACCTTTCTTGAAGTCGAGAGTACTGTTACTATTAAAATCAGCATTGTTTTTCCTATCTGACCTACCTCTTCCTTCAGGAGTCCTCACACCACTTGGCATGAAAGCAGAATTTGTTCATTCTTCTTCTCAGGTAAATACACTGAAAATTTGGTCCTTTAACAAACTCTTGTGATTCACGATCAGCTGGTTAAAGAAATTAAATTGTGTGAATCATCTCTCCAGTGAAAGTTACATCCCCACTAAGGAGAGTCAACAGAAGGAAATATATATGAGCATCTTTGGTGGAGAGAAAACGGACAAAATAGCAATGAACAATATATAGCAGGAGGTCGGCAAGGGGATTAAATATATGCAATGAATCATCTATAAGAACCAGCTAGATGAGGATTCTTCAGTTTTCAACAGAGACTATCGAGAAGGAAAACAGTGTAAGTTTATAAAAAATAACTCTGAGAAGGTGAATAAGGAAAAAATGTCCACTGTACTTCCTTACATAAGAATGAGAAGGTACCAAACAAAAATCAGGGAGCCCTGGGGAAAAAAAAAAAAAAAAAAAAAAAAAAGTATTCAAAGTCTGTATTCAAAGTCTTCACTTAAATGTTATGTTATTCTATGTTATTCTAGCAGA